ATAGTGGGAATCTACTACAGACCCTTGAGTCGGACTGAAGAACTGGATGATGCCTTTCTAAAACAGATGAACACACTCTAAAAGGAGAGATGTAGTAGTGATGGGTGACTTCAACTATCCCGATATTTGCTGGAAGTCAATTTCAGCCAATACTCCAAGGTCTAGCAAATTCCTCACTTACCTCGAAGACAATTTCTTTGTCCAAAAGGTTGAAAAGGCAACAAGGGGATCAGCTATTTTAGATCTGATCCTAACCAACAGGGATGACCTGGTAAATGGCGTGCAAGTGGTGGGATCCTTAGGTGGGAGTGATCATGTTCTCCTGGAGTTTTCTTATACAATGGAAAGGAGAAGCTCGACATAGTCAAACACTCATTCTAGACTTTAGGAGAGATGATTTTAACAAACTTAGGGAAACACTGGGAGTGATCCTGTAGTCAGGAATGCTAAAGGAGAAGAGAGTTCAGGATGGATGGGAGTTTCTCAAAAGGGAGATACTGAAGGCATAATCTCAAACTGTTCCAATGAGAAGGAAAAATGAGAAATGTCTCAAGAAACCAGGTTGGATGACAAAAGAACTTTCAACTGAACTAAGTTTTAAACAGGAGATGTATAAGAAATGGAAAAGGGGCGAAATCACTAAAGAGGAATTCAAACAAATAGCTAGCACATGTCGGGGTAAAGTCAGGAAAGCTAAAGTGCAGAATGAGCTCAGGCTTGCTAGATGGGTTAAGGACAATAAAAAGGGCTTTTGAGAGTATGTCTGTAACAAACGAAAGAAGGAAATGGTAGGGCCACTTTGTAGAGAAGATGGAGAAATTCTAACAGTGGACAGAGAAAAGGCAGAACTACTCAAAACCTTCTTTGCCCCAGTCTATTCAGAAAAAGAAAAGGTGTTCAACCTGAGGAAAATGGAGCAGAGGACACAACAGGGGAAATGCAGCACAGAATAAGTAAAGAGGAAGGACAGGAATACCTGGTTAACCTAAATGAATTTAAGACTCAGGTGCTTAATTAATCAGCATCTTCCATTTAACAGCTGCTAAGATTGGTGCTTATCTCTTCATTGCTCAGCAAAGGATAGAGGCAAGTCTTCAGACTTTGCCACCTCGTGTAGGGGATCAGGGACCCCTAACTGCCTCATCCTCTGGTTCCTGGGACTCAGAGAACTTCATTATCAGGAACAGCAGATTCCTGGCAAGCTAGCTCCTCCTCCTCTTTGTCTGAATTGTCCAGAGTGTGACTTATGACAACTTACTTATCAACAGGGAACACAAGCTGACTTACTTACCCATCACCTTGTATCCACTAATTTCTACTAGTGTATTACCACATAGAATAGCCTTCCTTCACTTCTAGACAACTTTGATTTTGGTCATGTAGCCACCAAAAAGCCAGCATGGTGTAGTGGTTTGAGCATTGGACTGTGACTGGAGACCAGGGTTCAAATCTCTGCTCAGCCATGGAAACTCACTGGGAAAGCTCTTTCATATGTCACCGAAAGTGTGCCGCAAAAGGTTGTGGCACACTTTCAGTGACTTTTCCACTGCAGCGTGTCCGGACGCTGCGACGGGAGGTCCTCCTTGGAGCGCTGGCCGTGCAGAGGGTGGTGGCTCTGAGGACGGCCTTGGGAGGGGGAGGGGGCGCCGAGCGTGCGGCTGCCCCTCCCCTTCCCTGCACCGAAGACGGCCCAATAAGCCATCTGCTTAGAACCTCAGCCTCAGAGGATGGCAATGGCAAACCCACTCTGAAGAAACTTGCCAAGAATAGGATGTCCTTAGGGTGCTATAAGTGACAAAAGACTTGAAGACACACAACAGCAACAACAACAAAGCTACCAGAGGGGGCCCACTGCAAGGACCATAGCCTGCCCAAATAAGAAAGGTTCAGCAGACTGGGCTTGGAAGAACTAACACATATAGACAGGATGGGTTGTTTGAGACTGGAATCTGTAGAATCCCTTCATACAGGAGTGTAATGGTGGGCAATGCACTGGGTACTTGCCAAAAGGTTGGGAATCAAAGGGCACCACTCTGGAGACAACACCTTTTTGTGTGAGACATCTGAATTTATTGCTCTGCCATTTCTACACATTTTAGCCATTCTTCCTCCCGGTATCATCCACTCAAACTCCAGAGAAACTGCTCCAGGACTCATTTCTTCCTTTAAATATGCCCATTTGGGCAATCTCAACTTGGTCTTGATTGAATACAGCCACTCTGTTTGTTTATCCCTTGACCCTTCAGGACACACAGGGCCACTCAGGTCCTGACTGTGTGCTGGGTCAGACTCATCCACTGTACCCCTGATTGGAACTCTGTGCCTGAATCTGGTAAAGTATCACCCACTGCTAAGAACTCACCTTAGGAAACATCTTGATTCCTATAGGGAAGCTCTGCGTGCAGCACAGAAATCTTTCTGTTCTGCACACATTGCATCTGCAGAGTCCTGCCCAGCAGAGCTGTTTAGGGTGGTGGGGGAGTTGACGAAGGTTTCTCCAGCGACAAACCCCCTACTTAACCCGACGACAGCCTGCTGTGAGGCTTTTAATATTCACTTTGCAGATAAAATCTCTCGGATAAGAGCCGACTTGGACGCCATTGTTTTGTCAGAATCCGTAGACGAGGCTTCCAGGAACTCTGTTGATGGCATTTTACTGGATCAATTACAATCTGTGAGTACCGATGACGTGGACAAGTTGCTTGGAAGTGTGAGGAAGACGACTTGCCCCCTCGATCCCTGTCCATCTTGGCTGGTCATCCGGAGGGGAAGCGTTGAAGGTGTTCCTTCGGGACACAATCAACGCATCATTCAGGGAA